ACACACACACACACACACACACACACACACACAAATTCTGAAGGAGAGATCAACAGCAATACAATCATAGTAGGAGACTGTAATAGCCCATTGACTTTACTGGATAGATCTTCCAGACAAAAAAATCAACAAGGAACATGACTCTAAATGGCACACTAGATCAGATGGATTTAATTGACATTTACAGAACATTTCACCCCAAAGCTGCAGAATATGCATTCTCCTCAAGTGCACATGGGACATTCTCAAAGATAGAACACATGTTAAGGCATAAAACAAGTCTCTACAAGTTCAAGAAGACTGAAATCATATTAAGCATCTTCTTGGACATTTACACCATGGAATACTATGCAGCTGTAAAATTGAAGGATCCCTTACCCTTGGAGACAGCATGGTGTAACCTGGAGAGTATTATGCTAATCAAAATAAGCCAGTCAGAGAAAGACAAGTATCACATGATCTTACTCATATGTGGAATCTAATGAACAAAATAAACTGATGAATGAAACAGATTCAGAGACATAGAAGCATGGAACAGACTGACAAATCTCAGAGGGAAGGCCAGGCTGGGTATGGAGAGATTAACCTAAGAACTTATATGCATAAATACATAACCCATAGACACAGACAATAGCGTGATGAAGGCCTGGGGGGAGGGGTACAGGGTGGAGGAGATCAATGGGGGGAAAAAGAGGACATTTCTAATAAATTCAACAATAAAGATTAAAAAATATTTTTATATATTTTTTGGACTTCAGAAAACTATACAATTTGAATTAAGTCTGAACTTCTTTAACCTAGAAGCATTAGTCAGCTGCCCAGATTAGATACATTAAGCAGGTAGCCATGTTAATTTACATCCATTACCCAATTTTAAGCTATTTAAACACATTCTAACCTCAAAACCAAACTAATGTGTTGGTTATGTTCGTATATAGATATATCCTTTAACTAGAGCCTAAAATTTAAGTACCAAAAATTATTGTACATATTCAAGAGTAATGTGTATACAATAAGTCCTCACTTAACGTTGATAGGTTCTTGGAAACTGTGACTATAAGCTAAACAACATGTCACAAAAACAATTTTACCCTAAGGTAATTGATATAAATAAGTGTGAAGTTCCTATGGCATGTCTGGTTACAAAAAACATCACCAAACTTCTAAAGAAAAACCCCAAACACTTCTAATATTAAACATTGAAGTCAGTGTGAATCGTGTATACATTTAAGAAAAACTAAGAAAAACAAGTAAGATAATGTTTTTCCAAACAAGTGATTCGTCTTTGGGCAGCTCAGGGCACTAGGAAGGACCCCTCTGGACAGGATGCCCTTCCGTCGCAGGGCCCCACAACTACACCCACACCCATTCAGACTGGCACAATGGAGACACGCCAGTTCACCTCATGTGCACAGTTTTGGGAGGTGAGAGAAAACTGGAAGACCCAGAGAAAATCCATGAAACATGAGGAGAACAGGAAACTCCATAGACAGTTGCCCTGGCTAGAAAAGAATTTTTTTTCTTATCATTGTTATAATGAAACAACATTGAACCAAACAGCTATTTGAGGATCTGCTGTACATTAATTACCAAATCTCTTTTGATGATCACCTACAGATAGCGCTATGCAAATATGTTACTATGTGACTCAAAATAAGATTTTTAGAATTTATGCAATAGAGCATCCCTTATTCAATGTTACTAACTAAAATTCCTGTCTACAATGTAATCTAAAGGTTAATATAAGTATATAAAATATATTTCTATAAAGACGTTTAAAAAATTTTACTAATTAAAGAGGGCTTCATTGATCTCTCAATTTTAGCTTTTGTCTCTCTGACAGGGTGACATAGAGTGATTCCATTTATTTGCTAGTGCACAAGGGTCCCATAGATCTTTTGAAATTTTTCTAAGTGAAATGTACCAGTAAACCACCAAGCACCACATCTTGGCCTGACACAGGTAAGCTACTCAATCAGGCTACTGACCAAAACAATGAGAACCTTTTATGAATGTGCACATTTTCAACAGATAATTTCAAGCAACAACAACATTTTTTAAAGTGAGGCATCACTGAAACAGTTAAAGCTTTCATTTTCTGATGTGTCTTGTGATTGATTTTTTAAGAGAGCGCGTTTAACAAAGAATAAATCAATGGTCAGCAAGCATTTCCTGGAGGTTTGAAGCACGGCTCTGACTCTTGAGAGAATTCTAAGAGGAGTAAGACATCTTCCTGGGCCTTGGCCACGTTACTCTGTAACATGGGAGAAGAATCTCTATACCACAAAGAAATCAGAAAAAGAGGGCTAATGTTTACAGTTTCACTTCAGCTGACCCCATTGCCCAAACTATATTTTATTAGCATTATTCAAACCTAACTTTATAATATTATGTTCTATCTGTCACTCATAATTGTTTTTTCTAAGATAACTATTAGCTCTAATCCTAAATAGAACTGAAATTTTAGATTTTCTATTACCAAAACAAAAATCAAAAATATCTATTTAAGGCAATGTTATTACATAAAAATTCAGCTCTAAACTTTTATCCAAATCTAATAGCTCAAATTATATAGTTATTTTTATTTACATGTTAGGTTAGCACAAATATCTAGGCTTTATAAAGGGATGGACCATAAATACGGATGTCTGTCCCAAATTAGCAAAATAATACAAAATCTCAGTATATCTCACTTTCTTTTGGATTAAATATCCACAGTGGTGAACAAGGTTTCAAGATTTGTAAGTTCTCCATATTTCAGATGACAAATCAGACATATATGAAAACAGCTACTTCTCAGGAATTCCATAACTCACCAGTAATTTTCGACATCAGAATAATATGCCTTGAACAAAAGATTAAAACAAAATAAAGAAGAGCTGAAATTGCAGGAAGAATCTAGAAAAACAAATAGCCACTTCTATCTGTCTATGGTAGTTATGTCTTATTTACTTTTTATCAAGCTAAATTTTTTTAAAATATGTTTTTATTGATTTTACAAAGAGAGGAAGGGAGAGAGAGAGAGAGAAACATCAATGGGGAGGGAGTTATTGATCGGCTGCCTCCTGCACTCCCCCTGCTGGGGATCAAGCCCAAACCCAGGCATGTGCCCTGACCGGGAATTGAACCTTGATCTCCTGGATCATACATAGGTCAATGTTCAACTGCTGAGACATGCCAGAGGGTTGTCAAGCTAAATTTTTAATAGCAATTCTCCCAAACACTCTGCAAGTGGAGTCAAAAGCAATAAAGGAAATATTTGGCATAATGACAATTCTTGGTTGATCTCAATAATATCTTATTGTTTTACCTACCAATTCTATTCCTGTTCATCAAATTAGCTTCCATGAACTATCATTAGTGCCAGTCCTCTAAACCAAACAGAAATGGTTTGGTAAACCACCCAGTCATACACAGGGTGCAAGGAAACACTGCACAGTTAGCAGAGGGCAAGGATGTCGTCACTCAGCAAATGCACAGTGAGCATTTACTGTGTGCCAGACACCATGCCAGGCCCTAAACATACAGAGGTGCTCTCCGTCATCTCAGAGCTTAGAGAGCAGATGAAAGGGTGCACACCTGGTGATGTAGCAGTGGTGTACACAAACTGCTGTTGATACAAGGGAGGGAGAGAGAAGTCAGGAGGCAGCCAGGAGGTTTCACAGAGAAGGTGACATAGGAACTGAGCCTCGGAGGACAAAGAAGGACTTCTCAGGAAATAGGGAATAGGGAGAAGCGCCTTTCCGGCAGGTGGAAGAGTGTGAACAAAGCCTATGGAAGGTCGTGCTCATCAGTTTGGGGAAGATTTCATATTATACCCAATGTTTAGAAGATGAGAAAGGGGAAGAATAGTGGCGGAGCCAAAGTCTGGGGGTCCTGCACCGGAAAACGAGAAGCTGATGTTTCAACCTGAGTTCTAGGTAATGGCTCACAGGGTGACCTTAATTCTGTCCCTGTGCTCCTGAAACTATAAACTAGAGAGAAAAATTAGAAATGGGGAAGGAAGAAGAGTAGACATTGCCTCCCTCTTCCCAAGGCAGGCAAAGTCTTTGCCCCCAATACATTGCACATCCAGTCTGCAACTCCCACTGATGTTCATTAAAGAATCTTAATTTCAGGTGACAAAAAGTATTTGAAAGTTATTCAAGAAACTATCTGTCCCTACCTTACTTTCGAATGATTGTGGTTACAGGGATGCCAGAACCACTTGACTGTAGGTTGAGGGATACCGTAAATGGTACAGGTCAGGATTTGTCTGCTGCCCAGTGGGTAGAGAATTGGTTCCGGAAATGATGACACGGCCTTTTCATAAATCTGGGGTTTCACTGGAAAGGAGAAGAATAGGACAGAAGTCAAGAACTGTTCCAATGCCTCGCTCCCGGGCCACAACCTGAAGGACCGCATTGTCACTGGTTTTGATGTTAGGGAACAACAACATGAAAAAAAAACATGTTTGTCATTATAATGCCATTTTTTAAAAGTAGAAGTGTTTTGAGAACATTAAAAAAATCCATCCCATGGTCGGTATGATTATAATGATAATAAGCCATACTACGAAGCCAACTAGTAGACATGAAATAGTTACGTGGTTTTTAAAATTTTTAGAAATTTGTTTTCTTTGATGTTGTTATACTGACTTTTGATTTACAAATTTTCATTAATCTTACCCCTACTAGAATCAGGAGAAAGTGTGAACAGTAAACTTACCGTTTACGATTAGATTGGTGGTGAGGTTTTTAACCACATTTGTCTTGTTTATGCTCAGCAAGATTGTGTAATTTCCTGTGTCTTCAGCAGCTACATCTTTAATAATTAATGAATAGCCATGAATGAAATAGCGAGCCGATTTCTCCGTCACAGGTAACCCATCTTTTAGCCTATGGTTAAATGCATGATCGGTAAGTCATTTCACACTGCCTCTCAGATATCACTTTAGCACTGCCATTTACATTTGTGAACTCAAATTTATGCACTGCAAACCTTTAATTCTCAACATTCATTAAAAAAAAAAACAACTTAGACACTAACTTATCAGTAAAGCCAGGTGTAATTTTCATTTTTATTTATTTTAAAAAATAATTTCTTAAAGATTTTTTAATTGATTTTTAGAGAGAGAGGAAGGGAGAGACAGAGAAACATCGATGTGAGAACAAAACATCAACTGGCTGCCTCCTGCATTCCCCCCACTGGGGATCGAGCCCGAAACCCTGGCGTGTGTCCTGACCAGGAATTGAACCGGCAACCCCTCGGTGCCCAGGATGACACCCAATCAACTGAGCCACACTGGCCAGGGCCAGGTGTGAATTTTAGTCCGGGAAACAATGTTTATTGGTAAAGAGAAAGAAGTAAGCTGAGGGAGACAGAGAAATGATGGCTCAGTGTACCCATAGGGGTTCTGGTCTCCACTGTGACTTAAGTAGTAACCCAGAAGCACTGACCAATTCCCTACAAGATGTTTTCCAGAGTTTTCCATGAGGCTCCACCAGTAATACAAGGGCCATTGTAAGTCAGATCAACTAGATCACTTCTCCAGATAAAAATAAAAATAGACTCTCCTATTGTGATCTCATGTGGAGTTCTTATTAGCTATATAAATGGTCACAGCAGTTGTCCCTTTCAAAAACTATAGTGAAATCAAGATTATCAAGATTTTTCCCCTCTGAGGAAGAATAGTTAGGGCACAGAAGTTACAAACAAAAGGTATAAACTTAAAATTTAAAAAAAAAAAATTTTAAATATAGAATTGATGCCTAGATGTCATGCAGTTTCTTACAGAACTGAGAATCAGGAGGCCTGAGTTCTGGGCCTGGTTCTGCCACTGTACCTGCGCACCTGACTTGTCCATGCAAGCCTCAGTTTCTCCAAGTTTTCTATAGAGTTTCTCAAAGATCTCTTCTAACTTTAAAACTGCATAGTTCTTGAAAGGAGCAGTTTTTACTGTTAGAAACGTACTGTGTTCTATATAAGGGTATATAGTATTGAGAGTGGTTTACTTTATAACCATGCATGTATTACACAGTCCTGCAGACAAATTCCCATTCCTAGGGGGTCTCAGTTCCAAAGCATTTAGAATGCTATGCTTTATTTTGTGATTACAAGTATCTTAGTATTAGTATTACTTTAAATTATTTCCTATTAACCAGTCAGTATTTTTGAAAATGGGTTGATTTTTTGTTTTATTTTAGGTCCTTGCTACTTAGTGACTGAAGAAATGAGTGCTGTTTAATAGATCGGGATACTCTCAGATGCAGAAGGAGGCATGCACCCCTAGTGAGATTAAACTCCTTTTAGGAATAATGTGCACTAGTAGGACATTTACTATTGCATGTCTTAGGTATTATGATCCCCTCAAGTCTCTCTTCTGCAACAGCAAGAAGGGGCATAGCACAAATTTAATTTTCTCTTTAATTATCTATAAACCATTTGGGGAAACTGAACACACACACAATGCTCATTTGATGCAATGCTCATAATGAAAGCAAAGTAAGCTCTCGTCAAGGAGATTCTAAAATGGCACCACTTCTATATTGTATGGGTTGTTTTCCTAGTTAGTTTTGTACTATACTCTTTGTTTAAAATGTAACAGTTTGAGCCAAAGATACTGGCATTCAAAAGTGCTTTAAAAAGTGACTGCAGATTATAAACAGATTACATTGTTTTACATCAGGTGTTGTGCTACCATAAAATTAAAAACACACACACAACTGCTGAAAGAGTTTCTGAATATGCAGACTTTGAGCCAAAAAAAACGTAATTAGTTCAAGTAGGTGCGTTGTCCACCCCTGTAAATGAATAAGTTTTGTCTCTATTAATGTTTGTTTAATTTTAAAACAAGACTGGAACTTTCAACCCAGCTGTATATAAAAGAATTATTTTCAGATAATAAAAGAATTATTATCCTCATCACAAGGGCCCACTTCTTCAGGGTTAATAGAGCATGTTGTTTATTCAGGAGGCCTCCTGGTCATTGCCAACACGTTCCATTCAGAGGATGTTGACATCATAGGAAGGTTTAGAGATGCAGAAATTTAGTCAGAGTGAATGAATGACTAAACTGCAATGAGCACTCAAAAAACCCTAATCCCCGCTCCATCCTGGTTTAGTATGGCTCCTCCCTCCGGCCCTTCTGGCCTGCAACTCTCCCAGCCCAGCCCAGGCAGTTCTTAGCTCTCCACTGCTGCCTGGGGAACTTATCTTGATTATTTTTAGGAATTCAAGCCAGGGAGCTCTTGCATCTTCAGACTTACAAAGCTTATTGTAACTGAAAGGAAAATAATTTTGGTCTTACCATGCCACTTCTGGTGGGGGAAACGCCTTCACTTTCATAGGCAGCCGGTAAGACTTCTTGCCAGCTACAGTTTCATGCACTTGCTGTTTTCGATGTTCCACAGTGATGAATGGTTGATCTTTGAAAGGAGAAGTGATTGATATATTAGAAAATACTATACTTATGTAAACAAAACAAAAACAAACAAATTCACTTCCTCATTAAAGGAGGGTATAACTAATGAATTAGAAAAACAAAGCTGAATTATGGTCAGGCCTATCAATGAGCCCAAATAGTGATCAATAAATAAAATAATTTAAAAGTACCCTAACTGGTAAAAAACTTTCAAATCAAATGGTTGCAAGTCCATAAAAACAGTGTTAGGTCAACAGAAAGAGAAACACCTTAAGTGTCTGTATCACAATAACAAATAGAAAGCTATTTCTAAAAATCTCCCGGGTCATATGAGTACAATGAGAAAAAGTTGCTCCAGGCACCCTAAAACAACTAATTTGATATAACAAATCAACTAGAGAAAGTCAAAGGAGAATTGTTTCCTAGTTTCTGCTCCTCACACTGTTTTTCTTTTCAACACTGGGAAAGAGTAAGATTTTTGAGGGCTCTAAAGAGTGTTAAGTATTTTCTTAACAGAATTTGCCTATTGGAATTGAGCAACAATATGAGGATTTCTTGAGAGTAAAACCAGGGATAAAAGAGCATCAATTCTAAATAATTTATCACACCATATTTTTATTTCTTTAAATCACAGTAATACCTTAGAAATTTCCCCCTGAAAATAAAGGCAAAAATGATCCTTTTTAAAAAATCCTCACCCAAGAATATTTTTTCCATTGGTTTTTAGAGAGAGTGGAAGGGAGGGGGGAGGGAGAGAAGAGAAAAGAGAGAGAGAAAATCATGATGTGAGAGAGACATATTGATTGGTTGCTTCCCACACGCACCCAGACTGGGAGTGGGGATTGAACCTGCAACCCAAGTATGTGCCCTTGACCGGAATGGAACCCTTGACCCTCCTATGTGCAGGCTGATGCTCTAACCACTCAGCAATGACAGCCAGGGCAAAATGATCCTATTTTTCTGTTTTGTTTATAAGGAACACTAAATAAAGGATTTCATATAGATTTTAATGTGACCTAACTGAGTTATTATTAACCTCGACAAATTTGTATGGGAAAGATTCTCTGTTCAATTCAAAAGTATCAACTTTAAAGTGCACTTAATGTGATTTGCTTTTTGGCAGGGGGAGGAGGGGGACAACATTGCCTTCATTCGTGACAGTGTTCCTTTTGGCCAAAAGAAAATTTACTTGGTTTATAGAACCC